ATTTCCATATGACAGCCATTTAAACATATCAACATATGGAAAAAGCCTTCCTGCCATACAAATGAAGTAATATAAAAAAATGTAGGAAGTCTAGATGTTTTACTACAGTGAGGGTAATATAAGATAAATAGAAAAGAAATTGCAGAAAAAAAATGTAGGAAGTCTAGATGTTTAAATAGTGATGAATTAAGGTTTAAAAATAAAAATGAAGTAATACCAAAACCGGGGGGGGGGGGGGGGGGGGGGGTGGTAAGGTGATCAAGGTCACAACAATATTTTACTCAGACATTCTCCATTTCTCGAAATTTTAACAAATCAGTAGACTTTTTCCTTTGAACTTTTATAGGACTATTGGTGTAAAAAAAAATTACTCTGTTTCATCAGAAACACACACCACAAAGTTCATAATTTTTCTTAAAATATACACATATCATAATTTCAAGTAATTCATAGCTAACTAAACAATATGATGTAAATTACCGTAATAAACTTTGAGATAATTGGCGTTGAAGCGATCAGGGAACGAATTATCTTGCTCACACCCAACTTCTTCAGTTGTCATCTTAAAGAACTTCACAAATCAACAAGTATCCTATTCTGTTAGGGAAATGTAGTGAAAAATGGATAATTATATTATCAGATCGGCAAACCCTAGCTACATGAAAAGGTAGGAAAATCAAAACAGAGTTAATGGCAGAATTGTTAAAGGTCGTATATCTTTGCACAAGTATGGAAACAAACTTACTCTGCGAGGGAAAGGCTTCTCGACGGCGGACGGCGGACGGCGAAGGAGATGTGTGACTGGGCGTTAATTGGAAATGGCGGGAAATGCAACTGGGCGGCGATTTTATCGTCGTTGCATTTTCGCGGGAAAGTTTTGGGCCAGAAGTGGGCCTTTTTAAGTGGACATAATTTGAGTTTATAATGGAAACTGAAACTGATACATGGGCACTGCCTACTGCCTACTGCCTACTGCGGACCCTGTCTGAATGTCTATCGAACTACCATGGGAACTGGGAAGACATACCTTGACTCACTGCCGGTCGCCGCCTGCCGCTTGCCGGCCGTCGCCACCTGCCTCTCGGTCCTCTGGGGCAAAGTCGCAGCCGGATTTAGTTTTTTTTTTTTCAAGTTAAAATTGGGAATTTTGGGGTTAGGGCTTGCCGGCTTGGTAATTTTATATATACATATACATATACATATAATAATTGTGTTATTTATTGTAAATAGAATTAATTTCACTTTTGATATTTTGTCACTTTTGGTGCACAATTTTAGTATCTATCTTTATTATTTTTATTAATTTTGACTCGAAACAATCAGGACCGGTCAAGGTAAAAGTCCTAGAAGGCTGCAGATACAAAGGGAAGTGGCGCTAGAAGCGCGACACAAGGTGACGATCACCGAATGAACAAAAGGATCCGACTGACCGAATGAACAAAAGGATCCGACTAACCAGTCGTGTGGGCGATCGGCGAGCCAAAGAGAAAGGAGCAACCCAGTGGGGAAGATAGTCCCCGCTGTCAACTAGCTAAGTTGCACGAAAGAGTTGATCTTTGACAATAAGAACTACATGAGAAAACTAACACGGATAAAGGATCACCCAGTCCACTGATCGTCGCCCTCCTCACAGACGACATCATGAATATTCACTACCCGCAAGATTACAGGATCCCATTGGTTTACGCTCACACCAAGCGGTCCGAACCACAAGAGCATGTTGATGTGTATTATGACAATATGTTGATGTTGCGGTAAATGATGCAATCATATGTAGGCCGACTGATCATACCTCTCCTTTGAAATTTTTGTTCGATTGACTCATCCCGAACCAACTTGCACGAGTTTACCCGTCGAGTGTGTGCACATAAAAACAATGAAAAAAAAATTCCGCTCTTAACGAGCGATGCCGCTTCTCAAAGCGACGAGACCCCGTGAGGTTATCCCAAAATGCGCATAAAAGAAAAAGAGAGAGAGAAAAAAAAAAAAAAAAACCCGCAAACACAGATGTAGATGTGCAAATTGCAACGCAGATTTATATTTTACATTTATTTGGAGGATTTTTATTTTCTGAGCTAAACAAAAGCGACATCAAATTGTATTTGCTACCTTTTCTCCGGGATTTTCGAGAATGCGGTAAATACAGTTGGGGCTCAGCGGTACTAGCGTATTTGTACATGGCGCTGTGCCGAGGTGCTGACTGCAATGTTTCCACAGTATGGGGATGCATGGTTCTTCTTCAATTGTGGGCATGGGAGCGGTTACCAATGTTAAGGCCACAATGTGAGTTACCTATGGAGCAGTTGGGTGATTTGCCACTCGGTGCGAGGTTAGTTTTACTAAATACTTTAATAAGTTTATATTTGATGAATTAGAGTTTATGTAATTTATGATTTAATTTGCAATCGTGGGTGGATTTGTTCCCATGGATTTATCGATGTGCCTATGCACACAGTTCGAGCATTTCAAGACCAATTAGATCGTACTCACGAATGCACCGTAAGTTTGTAAAACGTTATATTAAATATTTTTTAGACTATATGAGGTAAGAATTTCACAACCCGCATGTTATTTTACGGTTGCTACGAGCTTATTATGTATACTACAATTGAAAATATGTACCGGAACGAGATTATTAGTGTAATATGGACGTCCTAGTAATATCGGCGTCCAAACATAATTTGTAACATTTCATAAATCTCAGGCAGACCATAATATCTCACGACATTTCTCCTCTTTGATCTATACATAACATGTTATTTTGAAATGTTACAAATTCGTACATGGCATAATATCGAACGTGTTACGATATTTACCGAGATCCATGTTATGAAATGCCATGTACGAATTTTTATAAACTTATTAAACATTAAGTTTAACGTAAGATATCATATAAAGTTCTTGAAAATGTATTTTATAGTTCTGAAATTTTGTTATTGCAGTTCATGTTCAATCCTTACAATTCAGTCATGCACATTTTGCCCAATTATTGCAAGGATGGGCAACAAATCTAGACCGCAAAAGTACCGCTCATCTTTTTCTTTATTGTTGAGCATTATTTTCCTAACCGCTTTTGTAGACAATTTGGTGGGTTTCAACACGTGTCTACGCTAGTGGAATACCATACTGACTTGCACACTACCGATGGACAGTCATCGAGGAAAGCAGTAGATTGGGCAAACAAACACTTAAATTATTTAGTCGCATGGTATGAATGAGAACAGAATCTCATCGAACTTCAAGTGCCGGCTGGTCAACGAACTGTGAGCGATGCATGCATACATATGTTAGTACCAACAATATGGTCGTCGCCAAATCAGTAATCCTGCACATATACAACATCAGGGTTATCAAGAGCAATCCAGCACGTATGCTGCATTGGTTAGTATGTGTTTTTTTTTTTTTTTTTTTTTTCTAAATTCATACGTTTATGCTTATTATGTTATGAATTTGATGTGTTTTATATATTTTTTGATGTAGATTTATGAGGTGCAGATGATGGGTATTAGAGGGAGACGCTCCCTTGATAGTGATAATCCCGATGAGGTGCTGCAAAATTTTCGTGAAATGACCGAAAGATGCGAGCAGCTCGTAGCGGCGTCCCATTACTCATTTTTTAATGTTGTCCCTGCTGAGATTATAAACAATGCCCCTAACCCAGATGAACCGATTCAGGGTCGTCGTCGTGAGAGGCACCAAAGGCGGGGGGGGGGGGGGGGGGGGGAGGGGAGGGGCATGATTGTAGACGAGTGCGTGGAATGCAACCGCCTAATACAGGTGCACCTGTTGTTTTAGAAGAAGATGATGATGCTAGGGATGAGGACGAGGATGAGGGTATGGAGAATGAGGTTAGGAGGGACAATCTATTGCTGTTATGACTTATGAGTAGTCCCTCTTTTGGCGCGTTTGTAGGCCCTCTTAGTAGTTCGCAACGCGACTTTCAAACGACTAATATTGCATATAGCTGCGAAGGTACTACTAGCAGTCAAATTCCATCATCGTATTCTCAATTTGTGGAGTACTCACCATACACACATTATGAGAATATTACATTCGCTGAATCGTCATTCCAGTATCAGAGTTTTACGACCTGGCGAGTGCTGTGTACGATCCGACACAGCAGGGGTCATCTTATCAACATGCCCATCCTCAAACTCAAAATTATGAACCTCGTCCCACATACAACCTAATGCCTTATGATCATCCAATAATGCAACTTCAAAGGGGAGAGCCCTCGAGTCAAGGTGGTAACCAAGATCGACAAAACCAACAAATGTCCCGTCGATCAACAAGAATGAGCCGGCCAACCAGGTGTGGAACTGGTTCACGGCATTATACGCACATGTACTAATTCCATCATGCAATTTAACTTAGTTATATTTGTAGTGAATTTTTGACTTTTAACATAAATTCTTTCACTTGTAAGGACCATTAAATATCACGGATGAATAAATCATAATTCAAACATGTACTAATGACTAAGTTAGTGAGATCAATTTGATGTATACAATATCATAAATTATTTTTTCAGGTGTAATTTTTTCAAAATAGTACATTATCATTATTAAATTATTATAATAAATATATCATTACTAATTAACCAATACAATTACATAATACGGAGTATAATTTATGAACCAATAATTAGTAATCATTGTTACATTATCCATTAATCATTTGTAAATCAACACAAAATTATTATTAATCCCAACACAAAGAGTTCTACTACATAGACTCCCAAAATTCTACTCCCTCATTTATACTTCCTGAGGTGGCAATCCAGGATTGGTTATTTTCATCATGTGGGTCCACAGAAAAATGTCTACATCAAAAACATGTGAGAGGGAGTACAAATTGAGAGTTTAAAATGGGAGTACACCAAGTATTTTTCCAACACAAATATTACACAAAAATAACTTTTAACTTTTTAAACAATAACAAGACAAACAAAAATCATTTTTATGCTTTTAGATAACAAAGACAAATTGAAAGGAGTTATTCCTTCTTTTACCTCAAATTCAAAATCTGTTCTGAATTGAAATCCATTTCAATTTGTTGTCACCATCGAGAAAGCAGCCCTCTCTCAGACTATCAGTCTCACCACCGTCCACGGCCACCACCGTCCATCTTTTCCGTCGTCTGCAACTCTGCTCCAGGGCTCCAGGCCACCGCCACCATTTTCTCCGTCGTCTGCGATTCTGCTCCCGGCCACGGTCCAGTCGGCCACCATCTTCCCCGTCGTCTGCTCCAGTGCTCCAGGCCACCACGAGTCCACCGTCCACCATCTTCTCCACTAGGTAATTTTTTTTTTTTTTTGTATTTTTGTTTAATTTCCTCACTGCCTCGTTAACATTTTTTTTTTTTTTTTTTTTGTGTGTTAAATATCTTTTTTTCTTTCCAATAATAAAATTGTATTTTATTATTTTCAGGCTTTCAGTTTGTATATATATTTTTTTAATTTCCTCACTGCCTTGAGATCAACTTTTATGGTTGTTTTTTATTTAATAACCTTAATCTATAGTCAAACATTTCCTCAGATATTTCTTGTTATTTACCAAAAAAGGAAAGATATCATCAACTCTCATCCAGAAAGAAATTTTGAAGTGAACTGAACCATGTTTTGCATTAGGGATTATGTGTTACAGGTGGACAGCAAATGAACCTAACCTAAGTTTGCATTGGTCTCAACCCTCAAATCTGTGGTTTTTGAATCCTTAAGTGATATGTAGTGCACCGAGGCAATTTGTTCATTTAGAAGTAAGAATTTGCTCTCTATGCCTTGGACATCAGTATTGTTGTGCATGTAATTAAAAAATCTTCCATTTCATATGCCATTTTCTAAGTGGAATTCTCTTTTGAAAAAAAGGATATGCTTAGATTTAGGTGGAAAGCTGCATCCACTGTTAACTTGTAATTTTCAATTCTGCTGCAATTAAACTCTTTGGTGTTATCTTCTTTCCCTTCATCATTGTACTAGAGTTTTTCATAGCATTTCTTCAATTTTATTATTATTATTATTATTATTTTTTTTTAAATTTGAAACCAATGGAATGTTGTTCTAAATTTCTAATACTCATTTTATTGTGTTCTTCCAACTTTGAAGACTATGACCACCTTCAAATCCAAACTACTTAATGTTTTATTTCACGTTTCAAATCGTTGTTTGGGTTTGTTTGATACATTTCATTCTCTAAGTGCTTTTTTTTTTTTTTTTTTTTCAACAATAGTTGTAATGTTGTTGAACAAGGGAATCTAATGCTTGTTTTCTTTCTTGTTTGCAGTTGATAGAGACTTCTTGAACTCCCGAACAACTATGATTTACACAGCAATCGACACTTTTTACCTAACAGCGGAACAACTTAAGAACTCCCCTTCTCGGAGAGATGGAATAGATGAAGCCACTGAGACTACCCTTCAAATCTATGGATGTGATCTTATCCAAGAAAGTGGAATTTTGTTGAAACTGTATCCTCTATATTTGTTTATGTTATGCAGTTTTTGATAATGATGCATCTTCAAGTAAGTTGTTTCTATTGTAACAAATGCTATTTTCTTTGCGGATCAACACATGGCCTATTTATCTCCTTAATGTGGTTATCTGCAGACCTCAAGCTGTTATGGCCACTGGTCAAGTACTATTCCACCGCTTTTACTGCAAGAAGTCATTTGCTCGTTTTAATGTGAAGGTATATCTCATTTCCCCCCTTGCTCCTCCCAAATATGAAAGCAAACAATTACTTATGCAAGTTTAATAGTTGCACGAGTTGTGATTTTCATTCTGACTTGGCATTTACTATGTACAGAGGGTTGCTGCTAGTTGTGTGTGGCTTGCCTCAAAACTTGAAGAGTGTCCTAGGAAAGCCAGGCAGGTCCTCATTGTTTTCCACAGAATGGAATGTCGGAGGGAGAATTTACCCACAGAACATTTGGATACCTCTTAAAGGTTAGATTTTGAATAATCTTTACAAAGTAGGAGTCAGGGAACATTTTATTTTTTATTTTTTATTTTTATTTTTACCATTTGGGAGATATTAAATTTATCATTGTGGATATTGGTTTGCTTTTATCATTAATTTTCTTGTTTTTCCAGGAAGCGGCCTGGGGGATGAGGCTATGCCCTGTATTTGTTTAGTTGTTCGTCCCTTTCTGTTGTTATAGTTCTTTTCCTCATTTAGGAATCCTCTCCAGAAAGAGATTCGAAGTGACAAAAGGAAAAGAAGATGCTTGTTATTTGTATTGCCTTTTGGTTTTATGTATTTCCAACTGAAAGTGAGTTGATTTCTGATTAAAAACCTGTTATTCATTCTCTGGACAGAAATATGTTGATTTGAAGGCAGATTTGATCAGAACAGAAAGGCACCTTCTGAAAGAGATGGGTTTCATCTGCCATGTTGAACACCCCCACAAATTTATATCAAATTATATTGCAACTCTTGGAATGCCTGATAAATTGAGACAGGAAGCATTGTATCTTGCAAATGACAGGTACTCCGTATAATCCAAACAAGCAGCTCTGACATAGTACACATGCTCTTTCTTGAAATAGTACAGCTTTGACACTAGCAGTACATAGTTTTGTGCATGATTTGGATGTTAACTCTGAATATTTTGGAAGTGATAAATGGAAGTATTATGTTTAATCATGTTTTTGTGGTATCTGTTTTTCTTACTAGTTTTTGCCACATGTTCTCTCAGAGCTTCCCCAATATTTACTGTCAATTTTACTTGTGCTTTATTATTATTTTTTAAAAACCTAATACAAAATAATACACAGCCACTGATCCAGCCAATCTGATGGAGTCATCTGATAGTTTTCTCTGTATGTACTAGTGAAGTTTCCTGATGTAATGTCTCAAACTAGATTCTCTTATACTATATTGAGTTGATCAATTATGTTATTGCTATTATTTTTATTAATTAATATTCATTAGTATGATATTGGCTATATGTTTTTACCTATCAAAAACAAAAGGATTGGTTGTGTGTGTATAATGTAATTATTTATGTTTATATCTATATTTATAGATATAAAAAATTTCATAAATATTTAGAAATATGTCTAAATATGTAATATAGCTAGGGACTACATTAATCAATAGAAATTTAAAAATTAAATTCTTTTAATTTGTAAATGCAATTCCCTTCATTATAATTAATAAAATATGAAATATAATTAAGGAAATGAAATTATAAAATTAACAAAATGTTACTTTTTCCTGTTTTTTCTTTTATCCGAATGTTTCTTTCTTCCATTCTGCTGACGTTTCCCCATTTATTGTGCAGTTTGCGCACAACTCTGTGTGTTAGATTTAAGAGTGAAGTTGTGGCTTGTGGAGTTGTGTATGCTGCAGCCCGTAGATTTCATATACCCTTGCCTGAGAATCCTCCATGGTGGAAAGCATTTGATGCAGATAAGGCTGGGATTGACGAAGTTTGCCGACTTCTGGCCCAACTTTACAATCTTCCAAAGGCACAATATATATCTGTATGCAAGGAAGGTGGTTCTTTTTCAACATCAAATAGATTATGGGATTCACCTTCTCAACCAGTGCCGAAGGTCAAAATGCCTCCTCTATTGTAATCTGCTTTAAATTTTCTACTTTGTCATGTGTTCTTTCCGCTAGTAAGCACCAGGGTTTAAACTGATATCATTTCCACACAGAAAAATCCATGCTCTATTTTTGGTTCTCATTTAAAAGAGATTAACATATAAAGCTTCACCATGTCAACCCGAGAAACTTTTTGTTGGTAATTGATGCACAGTTTCTGATACTAAGAATCAATCTGATTTATCACAATATTTGTATTTCCTCTTGTCAGGAAGTGGCATCAAATGGCCCTTCTGCAAATGATGACACTGGTACTCCAAAGGGCGCTTCTGCAGCAATGAGCCAGGAATCTGGTAAAGATGCAATAACCAGGGCTCCTCTTGAGAAGGCAAAGGAATCAAAGAGTGATGAAGAGTCTAAAAGCGTGGCTTCTGAAGAACCAGGTTCAAAATCAATAACTGTGCATAAAGCTGAAGCAGGTGGGGAAAAGGCCAAGGACAGGGACAGGGATAAGGATAGAGGCAGGGAGAGGAAGAAGGAAAGATCAAAGTCATGGGACCGTGATAGTGATAGGGAAAGGGAGCGAGAGGATATTGAAAGGGAAAGGGATAGGGCCAAGGGGAGGGGCTATCATTCAAGAGACAAAGGTAATATTCAAATTGCTTTGTGAATTTTCCCATTATACCATTGTTCCCGGGCTTTATCATTGTACGTTTAATGTTTAATACGTTTACTAAACTTATCTAAATAATGCAGGGCACCTGGAGAGGTCAAAACCTCACTCTTCTCGAGGTATGGTGAACTATAGGTGTATTTTCTTTACTAACATGCCACCAGAAATCCAGAATCTTCTTGACAATGTTAATTTTATGCAGAGCGTGAGTATCATAGTTCCTCGTATTCATCGAGGGAGAAGGATCGCCGCAGACATCACTAATGTACAGTCTTGAACTTGAAGATGAGTTTGTACTTTTGGCATTTCAGTTGGCTGGTAGTTAGTTATGGTATGAAAAGAGTTTACAGTTGTGGTGCTTAGGTGTTATCTGCTATACTTGTTTGTATTACACCCAATTATTTATCTGTATAATGAGAAAAGCACTACTTACTGTCCAATTTTAGAATTTAGACACAGCATTGTTAATGACATAGTCTTATCAAGTATCCCAAGGGTTTCTGACTTGCTGTCTCCAACCAGATCTTAGGCTTAAATGAGAAATAAAAATAGCAATGCATAAACGCCAATTCATGCGTGTATTAATTGAGGTGCAATTTATATCGTAGGACCAAGTGTAATAGATTTATAGAAAAAATATTATAAATCTATTACAAAGTGAATGAAAAATATATTAAACTTTATTTTTACAAATATATAAAGGCCCTGTTTGGTAAAAAAGGTCAAAAAAATTGACCTAAAAATAGGCAAATTTTGGCTTATTTGATCACTATTAATTGTTTGATTTAGTTAAAATATCAATATAAATGTTTGGTTAATTAACTTTTTGCAACTCCAAAAGGCTAAAATTCAAAAAGCTACTCCAAGCAACTTTTTCAATTAACTTTTTTGAGAAAAGAAATTATACTAAACAGGGCTAATAGCTAATTTACCAAACACTTTTTTGCAATCAGCCAATGTTATCAACTATTTATACCCTCTAATTAACACAATCAGCTAACAGTTAACCGCTATCAGCTTACAACCATTTTACCAAACAGGGAACATTGTAAACAAATTACGGAATGAATAAAAATAGATATGATATGCCAAGCACCTTGTGCTTAGATGACATGTAATGACATCTTCCATGTGAAAGGTCATAAGATCAAACCTTAGTGGAGGCTCCTCGTGCTTCATTAAATTGTGAAAGTATGTTTGAACAGATACTACAATGTAATAGAGTTAGAGCATTCAAAAAAAAATGATATATCAACAATTTAAAACATAATACATTGATTGACTTTTTTTTTTTTTTTTTCTAAAAAAAAAAGGTCAAGTTAACCCCCAAATTGGACAGCGAGTTAATCCCCAAACAGACGGAGGACTATATGGGTCAAAAATTGAATAGTTGATGACTGAATCGGTCAAAAAAAATAAGTCGAGGACCAAGCCAGTACTTTCGCTATAGTCAAGGGACCATTTTGATAATTAATTCTAGAAAAATGATAAAATGTTATTTTAATATTAATTAATAAAATAATTGTGAGTTACTCTTTAAATTTTGAATTAATTTTTAGTATCAAATAAGAAAGGAACACATTATTTTTACTATCAATCAATAAAAATAATTTTTTTTTGAAAGGAATAAAAATAAAATTTAAAATCTATTCAATAAAAAAGTAACACACATAGTCACTACTATCAACCAATCAAAATGAAATTTAAAAAAAATACTATTTTGTTGTAAATATAATATATGTTTCTACACTCTTAATTTATATTCCCTATCTCATTTTATATGTCTTACTTATTATTCATTGGTCAAATCAACTTCTTTTTTCTTTGTTTATTTTCTTTAGTATTTTTTACTTATTTTTAAATTTGATTTTTTTAATGTTTAATAGTACTTTTAGTATAGTTTCTAAATATATAAATTTTGTATACTAATATTGAACTTTATACTATGAAAGATTGAATTAAAAATGACTTTAGTCAAATCTCGTTAACTAAATTAGACACATAAAATGAGCCAGAGAGAGTAATTTATTTGTTTCTTAAAATAAACTCTCCGAAATAGAAGGCGAGCCTCAAGGCTGATTCAGTCTTTTGATATCGACATATGTCACGTACTTCTCAGTTCTCAGTCTCAGGGAGGTGGTCCCACTTGCATGCGTGATGTCAATTGTGTTTAATTAATGAAATGATGCTTTCCATTATACTTGTTTTCTCTAAAAAAAGAAAAAGTTTATCATCATAAGTATTGATAAGTTTTTTTAAAACGCTGTTGCAATCAAGTATAATTCGATCGGATAAGCTTCCATGCTGCCATGCCTTGGATTGACGCTATAGACACTTTGCTTTCATTCATTTTGTATTTATACAATTTTTTTGTAACTCAGATTTCACCAAAATAACTTTGAAATCTAATACTATAGTATACACTTCTACACACAAAAAGGTTCAACTAACTCAAACCTAAACTCTCAATATTCAGGTCGAAGTACCTACGAGGTCCCTGTACTATAGTGTATGTTTTGTTTAATTTAGTTTTTATACCTTTATTTTATTCAATTTAGTCAATGTATTTTAAAAAGTGGTGCAATTAAAGACAATAGTTAACGGTGTTAATATTGCCGTTAAGTTATTAGGTTACGTGGCGCTGACATCATCATTGTCACATTATGATATTTATACACCTACTCATATATTACTTTACAAATATTTAAAATTAATTATTTTTACCATCAATATATTAAACTAGTATGTCTAAAATAAATAATTACAACCATGTTTCTAATGAGATTTGGACACTTGATGTCAGCATGCTTGTAATTATTTATTTTGGACACATTAATGTAATATATTAGTGGTAAAAATAATTAATTTTAAATATTTATAAAATAATATATGAGCTGGAACATAAATATCATGATGTAGCAGCAATGATGTCATCGTCACGTAGGGGTGTAAACGAATCGAATCGAGTCAAATATCTCAGTATTCGATTTGAATTCGACTGTATATTCGAATATTCGTATTCGTATTCGTTTAATATTCGAATCTCAAATTTGATTCGTATTCGATTCGACCAGTTTATTCGAATATATTCGATTCGACTTTGAAATGGCTAACTTATTTTTTTACAAAATTCTCCAATAAATTAAGATAAAATGTAATAAAAATTTATATTTAAATAGCATAAAATATTCAAATACTATTTGAATCGAATACACTCTAATTCATATTCGTATTCGAATTAACATATTCGAATACGAATCACGAATCAAATTTTTTTTATTTGATTTGTTTACACCCCTAGGCCGCCACGTAAGCTAAGTTACTAATTATTGTCCTTAATTTCACAACTTTTTAAAGTAGATGGATTAAATTGAGATACAATGGCTAAATTGAACAAAACACTATATTACAGAGACTTCATATCTAGAATGATCCAATATGCATGCCATTAAGTGTGACTAATTTTGGTTTCGCACCGGATCGGCTCAAATAAAGGGTAAAGTGTTGGCCATAATAGTATTAACTTTTCTATATTAAAGGGAGTTTTGAATTTCTGACATTCTTACGAGATGAGAGTACATGACCGCTTACATCAATCAAGCAGATTTCACTATACGAAGTTTAAGTGAGGCTTCGATGACTTTTAGTCTTTTCTATACGATTGAGAGTTTTGAATTTCTGACATTCTTAATTCAAAATGTTTAAGCCGATTTCACTTTCATCAAATTTCACATTTTTTTTATTTGATTTTATTTTAGGATAGTTGAATTGAAAGTGAAAATACTATACAAAAATAATGACAATTATATATATATATATATATATATATATATATATATTATCACCCTATTTCCATTTGACTGGACAAAGATAAGTCATATATATCTCCATCCTATATGGATGGAGATGATTGTCATTCAACATACAATTTTAGGAATTCATATTATCATTATTGTAGTTGTTATGCTTAATCACAATAAATACTACATTACTTTAAAATATAAAAAAACATTATAAGTGGACAACCTAATAATTAAGTAATCGATAAATTATTCTATTACACTAAGTTGAAAGGGACTAGTTGTATTTTTCTCAAGTTTGAATGCAAAACCTTATCGAAAAAGTTATTTTGAACAATTTTTCGTATTTTAATATTTTAGAGTTAGTAATAAATTGTTACAAAAAATAAATTAATCAAACACTTATATTGAAACTAGTTTTACACGCGCATTGCGCGAATGAGTTAATGCCCAATGTTTATAATTAAATAAATATTTAAAAGTATATCAATGCAAGATTATATATGAGAATTGAAGTTCATACATAAGTAATTTAATGTCGAATTTATTTATTTAAATATGTAACTCATAGTATATGAATACAATGTAATATAAGAGATTCATTATAATTGTTACTACAATTTTTTTTTTAAATTATCCAAGTATATATTTTTGTTGCAAAGGGTTCTAATATATTTAATGAATGCACATATATACAAGATTAATTAATGAATCAACGGTACCAGTCTTTTAAGTGTTTTGCTCAGTGTTCATTTGGTTCAACCATTATTGTTGAATAAATTATTATGGATAAATTTAAAATTTTTAATTATAATGTAATCCAAATATATTAGACGATTGGTAAATATGATGTTACCCAAAGATTAAAATGTTAAAGAAAATGTTTGGTTATTCAACAGTTTGAAACACAATTTATTCCAAACCACTGAAAATACAAACATTGCAATTTACAATATTTTCTCCAAAACATCTCTCTATATATATATATTTTAAATTAATGTAGAACCATTTCGACTCCTTGAATAACAAGAGTCAGTTTCGCTGGCTCACCTCCTTTTATAGAAGCCTCAGCTCAAGGCTCTCGAAAAAAAGTGGCAAAACTAAGGGGAGTCGAACGTTCGGCTCCCCATATGTTTTATCTTTATTTTTTTAAATTTTATTCCTTTTATTAAATTATTATTATTAGTATAATAATAATAATAATAATAATAATAATAATAATAATAATAATAATAATAATAATAATAATTATTATTATTATTATTATTATTATTATTATTATTATTATTATTATTATTATTATTATTATTATTATTATTATACACTTGGGTCATTTTACATGTTAATTTAAACAGTTAATTTTTTTAAATATCTTTTTACTCATCGTTGATATAATTCGCTGGTCAAATTCGATAATTAATCCGCTAACTGCTGAATGTCAAACAAGGAAATTGCGAGGTAGTTTCCCACTTCAATTTGATGTGTGATTTGAGTACTCTCTATGTCAACAAATCTCTCCAAGTAGTTAATATGATTGGCTTTATTAATTATATATATATTTAAAATTTTTCATGATATTAATAAAATAATTGGTAAATAAATATATAACATTATTTTGTATTATAACTTTGATATATTTAATTAAAAATAGTGCACAAAAAAGATAATAGACAATGTAGTGAATATAATCAATTGATGAATTTGAATATAAAGAATTTTTACATTGAAGAAAAATAAAGATAATATAACTAATTAAATTATTTCTCTTAAAATTAATTTATTGATAATGAATAATTTTTTTTTAATAAAGACATTGTAGAGACAATATGGCGAATATAATCAATTGATGAATTTGAATGTAAAGAATTTTTATATTGTTGAAAAATAAACACAATATAACTAATGAATTATTTCTCTTATTTAATTTAATGATAATGAATAATTTTTTTTTTAAATAAAGACATTGTAGACACATAATTCTAAATTAAAAAAATACATATATATTATTTTTTGTTGTAGCTACTCAATTATTATTTAATTTAATACGAGTAAAATAGAGTATTAATTATGCCAATTTTGATTGCAATGAGATTCGAAGCTAAGACCTTTTTTATTGAAATCAATGAGTAAGTTAACGGTGAACTAACAGAAATTAACAGAAAAGATAATATTTAATCGAAAGTTAACGAATAATCATATAATTAAGGATAAGTTAGAAAATCTCAAAGAAAAATTAAAATCTGATTAATTTGAGCCATTCATTTGATTAAAAAAATTTAACCGTCATTTTTTCTACCAATTATAGACCTAACCCTCTTAGACTCTTATTAATATAGGAGATAGTAGATTTAACCAAGTTAAAAAGCTAATAATTATCAAATAAATTAAAATTGACTGATAAACTAACTTTTTTGAAAGCCAAATAATTTGGTATATTAATGAACGAACATAGTAATAGAGTCAGGTGGGATTACATCCCAGTACATAGGATGATCCTGATCGAAAGCTAACGAAGCTAGTGTATGAGCATGCATATTAACAGCTCTGGAAATGTAATGTAAAGAACAATAATTAAATAACGACATAGTTGTCCTGCACTGGTCCGCAATGACCCCAACATAAGATTGAGTTCCGGTATCTCTTGATATTATCATGCTTCTCAACTCCATGCAATCTGTGAGTAGATCAATCCTCTGTATATCGCGCCCTTTAAGCCATGATAGTGCTTCCTTGCACGCTAGAGCTTCTGCCATAATAGGTGAAAAAGCACCAGGTAGTGTCCCCGCCGTGGCTGCCATAAAAACACCTTCGTGATTGAGCAGCACAACTCCGTACGTCGCTTCCCCCGTGTGTTGTCTGTAGCCCGCGTCGAAATAACACCTGAGCCCATGTGGTTCGGTCTCCGGCATCACAGCGGCATGCGGGTGGTATGTTACTCGTCCGAGTTTGGTGAAGGCTTCCTCGGTCAGTACTGCCCTCTTCACTGTTGATGCAGGTCGTGGCAAACTCCTTTCCCATAGCGCTGAATTCCTTGCCAGCCACAAGTAGTACAGAATTCCAACGACCAGCCGTACCTGCCCTTCCGTCAACAAGTCCATCACGCCTATGAACCATGATTGGAAAATATTAGTTAGAATATTCGTGACAGGTAACCCCGAAATATTCCAAACCATTTTAGAATAATCACATAAAATCAGTGCATGCATAATATTCTCCTGTGCATTGCCACACATGGGACATATAGGATCCACCTCCACTCGTTTAACAATTAAATTATCAGTGGTGGGTAGTATGCCAGACACAGCTCTCCACAAAAAAGATTTTCCATTTGGGTGGCACCCTTAATTTCCACAATGTAACCCATTTATCAAAAGCTCCTGGGTTATTAGAATAGTCCCCCATAATACGCCTATAGGCATTCTTAATCGTATATATTCCTTGTGTGTCTCCCTTCCAATACCATGTGTCATCATAATCTGGGCTTATTGGTATTTTTGAAATTCGGTTCACATCCTCAGGAGTAAATAAATCATTCAGAATATGTGGATCCCAGGTACCTGTATCTTGATTTATGAGGCCACTCACTAGTGCTTGTCGTAACTCCTCAGGCATATGTGTTTGAACCAAAGGACTAGGATCATCTGACAACCAAGGATGTCCCCATATCAATGTATCCCTACCGTTTCCAATCCTTCTGCACACTCCGGCACAGACTAGATCATGGGTGGCCATAATACTTCGGCAGCAGTGACTTGGATTATTCCCTACGGTAGCATCAACAAAAGTGGTCGTAGGATAGTATCGAGCCTTATAGATCCTTGCTACCAAAGAGGTAGGTTCTGTAAGAAATCTCCATGGCTGTTTCCCTAACATGGCCAGATTAAATGCACGAAGATCCTTAAATCCTAATCCTCCATATTTCTTAGGGATACATAATTTATCCCAAGCTTTCCAATGTATTCCACGATCTGCACCTGTCCCCACCAATATTTGTTCATAGTACGTTGTATAGACAAACACACTGATTCAGGCAACAAAAAAACACTCATAGAGAATGTAGGTATAGACTGAGCCACACTTTTTAAGAGCACCTCCTTCCCAGCCTGTGAGAGTAACTTTTTGTTCCATGATCCAATTCTCTGCCTGATTTTATCTTCTATATATGCAAATACAACCCTTTTATTTCTTCCTGAAGCCCTAGATATTTCTCAAAATTGGATGCCAACTCCACTCCCAAACACCACGCCACCTGCTGTCTCTGCGCCATCTGGGTATTTCTGCTAAAACAAATACTTGATTTATTAAAGTTCACCATTTGGCCAGACAATTTCTCATATCTAATCAGGCATTGCTTAATAACAGTTGCTTCCTGAATATTAGCTTTGAAAAATAACAGACTGTCATCTGCAAAAAACAAGTGTGAGACCGGTGGTGCCCCTCTGGCCACCCTACACCCATGTATAACCCCATCCATCTGTGCTCTCTGTAATAGCATTGAAAGTCGCTCCGCACAAATAATAAATAAATAAGGAGAAAGAGGATCTCCCTGCCTGAGTCCACGAGTTGGGGTCACACATCCACCCACCTCCCCGTTTATCATAATTGAATATCTTACTGTGGTAACACACAACATAATAAGGCGGATCCAGTGTTCATCAAAACCCATAACAGTCATCATCCTTTTCAAGAAAGGTTATTCCATTCTGTCATAAACTTTTGACATATCCAGTTTTAGCGCACTCCACCCCGCACGACCACACTGTTTCTTATGCAAATAGTGCCCCACTTCCGCTGCTACCAAGATATTATCTGTAATCAAACGCCCCGGGATAAAAGCACTCTGGGACTCTGAGATTATTCCTTCCATCAGTGGCTTCATTCTATTCGCAATCATCTTTGCCATTATCCTGTAAACAACATTGCTTAACGCAATTGGCCTCATATCTGCGACTGTCTCAGGTAGTGTTTTCTTAGGGATTAGCACTATATTCGTATCATTCAATCCCTCCGGGAGGGCACACGAATTCAACGCATCTGTTATAAACCGAGTCACATCATCCCCCACTACACTCCAAAAATGCTGATAAAAGCCCGGATTCATTCCATCCGGGCCTGGTGCCTTATCCGGGAACATGGAATAAACTGCCGTCTTGACCTCATCCGCGTCATAGGGCCGTACCAACAATGCATTCTTCTATTGAGTAACTCGGGGACCAAAATTCTCAAACAACGGATCTGAGCAACTTGAATTATTCGAGGTAAAAATATTTGTATAGTAATCCAATATTACTGCTTTCATTTTATCCCCCTCAACCCACAAATCATCATTATCTTTAATACGTACTATCAAATTCTTTTTCCTACGGGCAGAAGCATACCTGTGGTAAAACTTTGTGTTGGCATCTGCTCCCCGGAGCCAGTGTTGCTTTGCCCGTTGCCTCCAAAATATATCCTCCTGGGCCTCCAGCAGATTCAGCTGATCATCAATCTGCCGGAATTCGGCTAATGTCGCTTGGTCCCTTCGATTGCGGATAGATTCCTGTCGTCGTTGTAGCTGGTGAATACGTTTTCCAAACTTGTGAAAACGTTCACCACCCCATCGCATGAGTCTCTCTCCACAATATCGTTGGCACCCAAGCAGTCCTTCAGTTTTCCCATCCTGCCAGGCATCCTCCACGACCTCCTTACAGCCTTCATCCAACAGCCAGGCCATCTCGAATCGAAAACCTCTCGGGTTCCCTCCCCTCAGTATGCATGGTGCATTAATGTTGAGGAAAAGAATCGAGTGATCCGATGCTCTCGTTCGTATATTCTCTAGCCATGCATTACAATTAATGTCATTCCAACTCGTTGTGGTCAAAACTTTATCAAGTCTTTCCTCAATCCAATTCTGCGTGCCTTTACCTTTCTCCCATGTGAATTGATGTCCCCTCATAGGCATTTGGGCTAACCCACATTCATCAATAGCCTCCCCAAAGCCGCGTAGGAGACTATCAGGGTACGGGTTACCACCTCTCTTCTCGTGCTGGAACAAGAGATTATTAAAGTCCCCCACCACCACCCACGGCAATGTGGACCTACCCTTTAACGTGTTCAACAAATTCCATGAATCCCTCTTCTCATGCCATTTCGGAAAACCATAAAAACATGTCATCCGCCACCGCTTCCCCTCTATATGCACCTCCACATCCACATGGTTCTTAGTATAACTCAATAACTGTACCGTATTATTCTTTTTCCACAAAAGAGCCATACCACCACTCATTCTATCGTTATCAACATAAAATAAACCCTCATATCCAAGACTAACACGGATCCGCTCCGCATGTATCCGTGCCACCTTGGTTTCCATTAAGAACACAAAATCCGGCTTCTTACGGGACCCCAGGTCCACAATCTGTCGAACTGTTTGTGGATTGCCCAAGACACAACAGTTCCAACTTAACGTACTCATGAGGACGGGCGGGGCTGTGCAACAGCTCCCGCCATGGACAAGTTTTTTGAACCCTCTTGCATAACCACATCCTCCCCCTCAAACTCCGTACCCCTTCCTCCACTCTCGGTCTGCCTACGCCTTTTCCCGGTGGCTTCCACCTGTTCTTCGGCATCCATCCCGCCCCGTACAGGTACAGCGCAACTCGGCCGTGTAGCTACCACCCCTGTCACCCCGCTCCCCATCTCTATCAGACGTGGTCTCCCGCCAACCAGCACAAGCCAGCTATCCCCAACCGCTCTAGGAGCGCTCCGGGATCCACCAGCTCGCATATCCGGACCATACGGGTACCGCTCCAATGGGATGCCAGAGTCTCGCGCCCTAATGCAAAAAGTGTATAGGTGTCCCATTAATCCACAGTAAAAACAGAACCTGTGTAACCGTTCATAACGAAACGTTACCCAAGCCGTGGTTTTATCCCTTTTCAGCAGCTTCATTCGTCGTCGTAACGGTTTATCCACCGGAATAGAAACCCTAATTCGGTGGAAAGTCAACCACGGGGCCCCTTCAAATCGATCATCATGTTTCACAAAGGTGCCAATGAAATTTCCAGCTTGCTCTAACACCGTCTGAGATGTATATCCTAACGGCATGTCGTGTAACTGTACCCACATATCAATTGTGTTTAACAGAACCTCCCCGGGGGAAGTATTCGGCGGTAACTCCCTGTAAACCAAAGCGTTATTTTCAAAAGCCCAGGGTCCTCCATCCAAGACATAATCCACGTCCGTTCTATGAAAGAAAACGAACAAGAACACACCCCTTTGGATCTCCGTAACCTGAACCCCTCTGACCGGTTGCCAAACGGAAGCTAAAACCTGACGCATAAACTCTAGCTTCACCATCCTCTGAGTTAGGAACCTCCCTACAACCTTCCACGTCTCCTCCACACCCTCCTCGGCCTGCCCTTCGTCCCCGACCGGCGCAAAAGCCGTTTCTTCCTCCTCTAACGACCATTGTGCCCACTGTTTGGTGACCACAGCGACGTCGTCATCTCCCGCCCTCGTCCGCTGATTCTGTTCTGGCTGCACTGCCGCCATCGGTGTGCTCGTCCCCTGCTGTTCGAACGCCGGCTGTTGCCGGAAAGATTGTGTCGTAGCAGAAACCCTAGGAAAACCTAGTATGGAGGCAAAAACCCTAGAGAGATTCTAGAGAGAAAAACTTTTAAAAAGTGATAATGATTTTTTTATTTGGCCCGATAAACTAACTATGTTACCAAACATGACCTATATTTTAACTAAAAATGTGAGAGACCCGGCTTTGGTGGAAGACAAATAGTGAAATAGAAAGGGACAATAAAAGCTGAATAATGAAAGTTGTCTATAATAATAATAGCAACAATAACAATAATAATAAGACTTATTGGTACAAAAGAAAAAAAAAAACTTTTTTTTTTTTTTGTTTATCTCGTGGTAATTGTATCCATATTTTAAAAACTTGGTGGAAAACACTAACTTTTATGTTATATATGTAACAATTATACCAAATTATAATATGTAACCATAAAGATAATTCAATTTTATTGACTTAAATATTAATTGAAGACTATAATATTCAAACATACTTGTATACTGCAAGATATTTTTTGAAAGTGTTTACTTTTGAATTTTTACTTGTTTAAAGTGGACATTTTTCATACAATTTTTAAGAAACTAATGTTATGTTGTAATTTTTAAATAATTTGTTTGTAAACTCAAAAAAAAAAAAAATGGGGTTGGATTTGATTTGTTATTGTGTTGCAAATTATAATTGTTACAAAATACAAAATGTTTGATATTATTTTGTCTACTTTTAGAGGTTTCAATATAATTTCTATGCATAATTGGGTATAATTATCACAAAATACAAATATTTATATAATTGTCATGTGTAAATGTTTGGATTTTTCTGCCAATATAACAACAACAAAAAAAAAATAATGTAAAAACATTACATGTGTTAATTAAGGCAATGCCCTTAATTTTTGTTATTTTTTGTATGTTAATAAATGTATATATTAGTAGGCCTCGTTGTATTTATATTAGACAAATTTACCATTACAAAATTATAACTACATTACTATTTAAGAGTTCTAACCATGGAGCCAGTAACATTCAAAAAAAAAAAAAGAGTTCTAACCATGACTCCATCACTATTACCATATATACATCTATCATATCATTTTCATATTCTTTTTAATTATCATTTTATTAAAATCTATATAACAAATAATTTAATTGCAAGTTATATTTTAATTAAATATTTATGAATGTTAAATTATATGTATATCTACTATATATATATATATATATATATATATATATATATATATATATATATATATATATATATATATAAATATAAAAGAGCCGAAGAAAGTTAGGCCTATAATGTCTACTATATACTAATAAGAGCCAAAGAAAATCAAGCCTATAATAGGTAGAAAAAATGACCGTCAAATTATTCAATCAAATAAATGATTTAATTTTTCTTTGAGATTTCCTAATTTATCCTTAATTATATGATTATCCGTTAACTTTTCCATTAAATATTATCTTCTCCGTTAATTCACCGTTAACATTGCCTAGAAATTCTTATAGAATTCTAATATTAAAGTCTTTAACAGAACTCTAACCCACAAATCCTAATTATAACTACACCATTAGTCTAATTCTAATATTAAAGTCTAATCTAGAATTATAACTACACCATTAGTCTATAAGTACAAATCTAAATTATTATGCAACACAACATCAACGGAAAATTTTGTGTTGAGATTTAGTCTGATCAGACACAATATCAACAGGAAATTCTACAGGTATGTTTCTATAATATTAAAATAGGTAATTATAAGTTTACAAATGCAACATAATATAGTCAAATTGATTATAATTGTCAATAAAATAATTGTATGGGTATGTTTTAGTCTCCCTTATGTCCCGTATTTGGTTTCAATCATACTCATACAGTCATACAATTATTTTATTAACAATTATAATCAATCTTGACTATATTATCTTGCCTTTGTAAATTTAGAATTACCTATTTAAATACGCAAATTCAACATTCAATTATCTATGCATGAACAACTTTAAAATACTCTTGCCTTATACTTTAAAGTACTTATTTAAGAAAAAACATTAAGTATTATCCCAAATGCGCAATGCGCGTGAAAAATACTAGTATACTAATATACGGAGTACATGAGTGTTAGCTCAATATTATAGATTTTTCTAAAAACTGTTATAAATATAAATTTTATAAGAATTGTTTATATTATTATTAAAATATAATTTTTCATTTTCTCTATATTTTAAAATATAATAATAATAATTGATTATTTTAAGAAATTACAAAATATAATCTCAATTAAAAATTGTAATTATTTTTAATTTTTAATATTGGTATAAATTTGTTCATAATATTGGGTTCTTCTATTTATTTTAATACGAGAAGAATTTAATAGAGAAGAAAGAAAATAGGAGTAAAAAGATAAAATTACTTATTAATATTTTTGGGTGAATTTTGACCGACAATTTAATTGGAGTAATCAAAATTGATAAAAATTAAATAGTTAAGGTACTAAATTGACTATTTTTATAGTAAAAAATTGAAATTAACAAGACTCTAATAGTTATAAGACCAAAAGTGAAATTAACTCATTTTAAAGTTTCCAAGTCAGTTAGGCAAACAAAATTCAAGAAATATAAAAAACAAAATTCACATAAGGATCTATATCATTTTGAAAGCTCCAAAATTACAGGGATAAATTGAGTCTAATAATAATAAAGAGGCGTGGAGTGTTAAATTGACATCCATAATTATTCCGATGCCGACCAAAAAAGAATTGATTAAAACAAGAAACCGAATGCCGACTTTGCATTAATTACTCGTCCGTAATCCCCGTATTAATACAAATCTTAATATTAAAAAATGGAAAGAAAAAGTAAGAGGAGGATGTGGATGAGACAGAAAGCTAGCGAATCATTTTGGACCGTTCAGCCAATGGGACTTCCTTTTTCTCTTCAAATGGCGGTGACTCTTTTTCTCCTCTGACTTCTGATTCGTGATTCCCCACCTTTCACTACACTTCCCACCGCCAAACACTTCTAGATTTTCCGGCGCCGATGACGGTCAGCATGCTGGGCGGCGATAGGAGGACCGGTGTGGAGGACGAGTACATCCGGAGACACCACAGACATGAGGTCAGAGACAACCAGTGTAGCTCCTCGCTCGTTAAGCACATCAGAGCTCCGGTTCATCTCGTGAGTCTCCGCACGCTAGCTTCTCTTTTGTTCTTCCGATTTTCTGTTCGTTTCTGCTGAGTATTACTCCGATCTGCTCGTTCGTGCTACTGATTGCGATCCTTTTGAGTGAATTTTAGCTGTTCATGTGCTTTTTTGCAGATTAATGCTCTATTGCAGTTAATTTTATATGTTTCAATTTAGGTATATTAGATTTACACCGTTGACCATGGATGTTTGGATATTTGATGAAGTATTGCCTACATATATGCGTATGTGTACGTGTAAATAGTAGATACAAATCAATACATATTGCTCTTCAGCTGAGCTCTGTATATTTGTCAGTAGTTATGAGAAGGGAAAAAGAAATTTTCGCTAAGCATGTTATGACTATATATCACTATAAATATGGAGTGAATTGTATTCTGAAGATATATAATAGTAGTGTTGATTAATTGATTGTATAAAATTCGATTAATTATTATGATCTCCTCAGTGAACTTTGTGTTAACTAAGCAACTCAATAGAATATCAGCCCTGACATCAATCTGAATATATTTTCAGTCTTATAGACAATCTTTAATTTTTAATTACTTTTTGTAGGTATGGTCGTTGGTGAGGAGGTTTGATCAACCACAAAGGTATAAACCATTTGTGAGCAGGTGCATCGTGGAGGGAGACCTTGAAATTGGAAGTGTTAGAGAAGTTAATGTTAGGTCAGGACTTCCGGCAACCACAAGCAAGGAGAGACTAGAGCTCCTAGATGATAATAAACATATCTTTAGCATGAGGATTGTTGGTGGCGATCACAGGCTAAGGGTATGAATACTTGAGCATGGGGAGTGAAAATTTTGATTTGAACTTTTGATATTCAAAGTTTCAAACAGACTAAGACGACTTCATACAAAAAAAAAGTCAGTAGAAATTGCTTCTTATAGGATGTCATTTGGGAACTTTGGGGCAGTAGAAACACTTTGTTTTCATTACCATGGGATGATAAAATCTAAAGTACAAATGTACAATGTTTCATTTAGTTATTTGGTACACTTTTCATCTTGCTCACAAGGACTTATAGGGAAGGCATTGGAATTTCCTTTTAATTTCAGTTGTAGTGCGTATGGAGGCTTATATGTTTAACTCTTTTTGTTTCCTCTTTAAAATATATGCAGAATTACTCATCAATAATCACCGTTCATCCAGAGGTCATCGACAGCAGACCTGGGACATTGGTTATTGAGTCATTTGTCGTGGACGTTCCTGATGGTAACACTCAGGATGAAACGTGCTACTTTGTGGAGGCTCTGATCAAGTGCAACCTCAAGTCTCTGGCTGAGGTCTCGGAACGACTGGCAGTGCAGGGCCATACAGAGCCCATTGACAGAATCTGAATCCCTGGTGGTTTGGATTTGGAGCTTTGGACAATAAGTTAATGTGGATTGGGCATGCATACAATGATTTCCAATAGAAGGCGAGTAGAGTGACCGGTACTTAGCCAGTCCTTCTCAATCTCAAAAGTATATATTGTTATACATCATTGTAATTATGTTAAGTCAGAGGCTGTTGCATATTCACGGTCTATTTTCCATTGTCATGTGTATTACATAATGAGCTGAACATAAGGTTGTTGCCAGTGTGTAAGCTTGGTTGTAAATGTTTGTGCTTGAAGATGTGTACTTTGTAGCTTGCTGTTATCAGAGATTGCTTGGTGAAGACACATTTTTGTCTGTATATGGGTTTTTGTATTTTGGTGTGCCAGTGTTAGATTAAGGTTACATTGACTTTAATTCATTGTTTTATTTTGTGTGTGTGTGTGTGTGTTTTTATTAAATTTTTAATTTCTCATTCTTAGGTATCTGTCTGTTTCTTAAATGTAAATATTGTTTTCTATTTGTTTTCATTTCTTCAGAAAAATAGTACTATTAGCTATATTTGTTACCTTATCCCTTTCAATGTCATCTTTGCAAATTTGTCGTTTTTTTATGCTATTTTCAACTTCATTTTGCAGATTTGTCGTTTGATTGAAATCAGCTTGGGTTTGGTTGTATACATGGAAGGAAAATATTATATGTACTCCCATTCTATATTCTCGATTTGTACTTTTATATTTAAAATTTTGATGTTGATACTTTTACAGGGATTCACATGAAAAAATAACTATCAAGTCCGTTAAAATGGGAGTAAGATTTGAGAGTACATATATTATAATTTCGAAATGAGATCGTGACAGATTATTACCATTATTCAATAATGGAAGTGGATAGTTGGTGCGTTAGTGGGAACTTTACGCTTTAGTGGCCCAGTGGGCTATGGGTATGGCTTTACCTTCAGCTTTATTCTTTATGTCAGCCATTTTTTGCACAAACTTTTAAGTAAAGCTGTGATATATCTTGCTCCTTGAATTCTTAATCTCAAGACCTTGGCACACCGCTTTGACAGAGTATTTGTAATAATATAAATCACGTGACTCATAGATAGGGTTAAATGTTGGTGGGCATAAAGAATATGTTAATTTTGCTGTCAAATTTCGAACTTTAATCTCTTACTCCAAATATTCTTCACTGAATCAATGCGATAGTATGTGCATGCAAAGTTGTGATTTATCTTATGACAAATTTTACCAGTGCAACCGATTGAACTGTCGCAGACTTGACTATAGCTAGTAGGAGTCACAAAGTCACGGGCAAAAAATAAAATAAATTTAATAAAAAGGGTATTGTAATTTGCGAACGGGCAAGAATCAGGATGAAAGGTCAGTGTATGTATGACAAAAATATTAAATATGAAAACCCCATAAACGACTTTGGTGGTAGCCGGTGGGTGGTGGCCGGGGATTGAAAACGGTAAAACGTCCGTTACCGTTAGAGCGAGCTGGCTTGATTTCAATGCGACAGAGGAGTGCACATGCCTCTTTTGTGCTTCCCATACTTTCCAAAAGAAATATTCCTCATGTCATTTATAACGAGGGATCCCTACCATTTTCTTCTTTCTTGATAAGGAGAGGATATTCTGTTCAACATCATACATTAATAATGTTACTTATTTTACTCTGAAACATAATTTATCCTATATTATCGAGTAGTGACTATAAGTTTCTCTTGTCATTTAAAATTTATTTTATATGAATTAAATTTGGTTTATGTTCAGTTGATGTGATATGACCTTTTTAGAACTTAATAAGTCGCCATATTAGACAAGATTTGAACCAATTTAGCAATTGTATGGTGGTTTCTTTATAACATATACTCCGTAATCAATTTGTGTATAAAAATGATTCTTTTTTTCTATTTTAATATGCCAAATAAAAATTGAGAGCTAATTTCAATTTTGATCATATGACTATAGGGACTTTGTTAATTTCAACATCTGACTTTCAAAAGTGTCAATTTAGTATCTTGACAATGCGATTTTTATCAATTTTGGTCACTCCGGTCAAATTGTCGATCAAATTTCGCGGAAAAATTTTAATAGTTAAAATAATGAGGGTATTTTAGTCATTTCACATCTCTTCTTTTCCGGCGAATTCATTTTTCCGCGCGAATTCGTCGCAGCAGCGCACCTTCCGGTTTGAGTCATTCGTCTAAGCAGCAGCACACCTTCTGTCGCATCAATTTCACCATTTTTAATTCTTTGAAATATGAGAGCTGAATAATTTCGTTTCGTGCGAAATCCATCGCTCCGGGAGGGGTGAATTTCATTTCATATGCTCCTTCAAATTATTCAGTCTTCGTTAGATGGCGCAATGTGAATTTTTACAAGGATAAAAGGAGTTTCTTCATCTTCTCCTTGGTGGCGTCATGGATCAAGTTGCTGTCGAAGTCGAACTTCGCAAGAGGCTGTAAAGATTGCCGAGACGCCCAATCAATCGCGTTTTTTTTTTTTTAAATAAAATTAAAGGTGCTGATAGAAAACAACAGTACATTATTGTAGCACAGTTAGGGTTAGATTTAATTTCAATTCATCACTGTACGTTAATTTGATCTTTTTATGTTTGGAGAATAATACGTATCGGCGATAATGTTGAAAGCATCGCAGAGTACCTCATCCTCGGATTCGCCGGAAAAGAAGGAAGAGATGTGAAATAACTAAAATACCCTCATTATTTTAACTATTAAAATTTACCTGCGAAATTTGGCTGGCAATTTGATCGGAGTGACCAAAATTGATAGAAATTGTATAGTCAAGGTACTAAATTGACACTTTTGAAAGTCAAGTGCTGAAATTAACAAAGCCCCTATAGTCATGTGACCAAAATTGAAATTTTCTCTAAAAATTTGTATTCATGATCCTTTAAATATACCATGAAAAGCTAAACTAGCAATTGTTATACCGTGCACCAGGGCGCACATAGCCCCGCGTCTCCCAAAACGACGTCGTTTTGTTAAGTTGTGTGGGGAATTAACGCGACGAAAATGTATGTGTATTCAGTTATAAAATTCTGTGTTTTTAGGTATAAAATTATGTGTTTCAGGTATAAAATTATGTACATTCGAAACAGGGAATTTTTATCATTTTAAAAAAGATTATGTATTTTTAGGTATAAAATTCTGTGTTTTCTATTATATAATTCTGTACATTCGAAACATGAGAATTTTCAGTTATAAAATTTTATGTTTTCAGGTATAAAATTTTGTGTTTTCTATTATATAATTTTGTACATTCGAAACATGGGGATTTTCAGTTATAAAAATTCTATGTTTTCAAATATAAAATTATGTGTTTTTCTATTATACAATTCTGTACATTCGAAACATGATTTTTTTTAATGAGTTAACAGCAGACACGCGAAAAAGGTACAAAATGATGTGGTTTTGGATCAGGCTAGTCCACGGTATAATTTGCCCTAAACTAGTCTATTATGGTTAGAAGCCTTTCCTCTATTCCCTTTGGCTCCACAATTTTATCTTCTTTATTTTTTGTTACATTTTCCTTGAAAGGGAAAAAAGTTATGGAATAAAATAAAAATAAACAAAACAAAATAAAAATGGAAAACTTTGTAGAATAAGTTTGAGTTATTAGGAATATTGCGGATTGCCAGACGCTCAAACAAAACAATCAATGTTAAAAATTAATATCGGTTGGGAGGTTACATTACATATATTGCCAACATAACACAAGTGATGTCCACCGTCCCATGTTGCATGTCCGCTCTTCTTCCCCGGCTCCAAAATTGATTAAATATATTAAGGTCCATGATGTGTGACACTTAAATCTATTTATTTATTTATCATTTTTATATATGCATATATATATATATATATATATATATATATATATATATATATATATATATATATATATGTATATATTATATAACTTAAATAGTAATACAATTCTTGATTTTTTTTTTGAAAAAATCACGAATAATAATTTTTAGAGGATTGTTAACTTCTACTTTTATCATATGAGTTTAATTTTGTAATGTCATATGATCCCTCTTTGTAAGGTGTAAGGTGTAAGGTTTTAAGTTTATTTTCCTATGGAATGACCTATTGGCGCATTCTTGATTTGAGCTGGTGAGCCGGTTAGTTATGTGCAATCCAGATTAGTTCATTCTATTTGTGGTTCTTTATTAATTAGGATTATAAGGTGGACTTCACTTAAAAGTGTACATTTGGGTAACGGTAGTAGGTTTTCCATAAATCACTGGTGATTAATTTTTGTTTATCCAAAAAATATTATTTCCATTTTTTTTTTTTGGGGGGGGTGGGGGGGGGGGGGGGTGGGGGTAGGGGGGACTTGAAATAGGGCAAACATTGGTGATTGGACCTAAAGTACGTAGCAAATATCAATATTCTCGATATGTAAGTTATATTTTTCAATTTTAAAAATTAAGACTAATTCTTTTAATACACATCTAAAATTATTATTAAAAATCCTACTAAGTTCAATAGCTATACAAATTTAACCATGCCAAACATCTTGTACTCAGATGTCATGTAGTGACCTCTCCCACGTGGGAGATCATGAGATCGAGACTCAGTGGAGGCGTTATTGACTCCTTGTGTCCTATTAATTTGAGAAAGTATAAACAAATACTTGAATAGATACTACAATGTAATAGAGTCAGTACCATTCAAAAAATGCAAATTTAACAATCAAATCTATTAAAAAGGTAAATTCTTCTTTCATAAACAAAATACTTTAACAATTTTAAAAATTAAAACTAATTTTTTTAATACACATCTAAAATTATTATTAAAAATCCTACTAAGTTCAATAACTATACAAATTTAACCATCAAATCTATTAAAAACTAAATAAAAAGGTAAATTATTCTTTCATAAATAAAATACTTTAACATAAAACATTATTGTTAGGGTAATATCTCTCGAGATTGGTGTAAAGTCACAAGAATTCTAAGCAGTGGACCTAAGATGTTTGATGATTCAACCCATGATGATAAGCCAACAATAGTTGCTCTAGTAGCAATTAGCAGATTTGAGAAGACAAAAAAAAAAAAATACATATTAAGTGACTTGTTATACAAATACTATAAGTTTTAAAGGTCATTTTAGCCTTCAATATATCACAATCATGCCCAACTCATATTGCAACGTCTAGTTTTCCTTGTATAAATATGTAGATTTATAATTATTTTTTTAGTATTATTGGGCCAATCGGACCTGACCGTGAAGGCCTATTGGGCCAACCGATCGAAAGGTCTTTTACCATACTATTTCAAGAACACTCTTCGAGTAAAACAATCAGTCGATCATATCATGTATCCTATTACCCTTGCAACCTTCATTAGACATTTGACACAACCTCTCTAACCGCCCAACCGACATCCAACACATGTAAGGCATGCCGATAACTCGGCATGTTCACCCCACCTCGCCTATAAAAAACACATTAATTGTTAGTAGGAAGGACTTTTTACCCTTCGCATGCCTTTGGACACTTCTACACACCCTATACCGCAAATACCGATCTCATCTCTACTAAAAAGAGACCATTGTAGCCACCAGTACAAATCCTGATGCTATATATACTACCGAATTCGTGGAGTATTTGTTACATCAGTAGCCCAGTACCCATTTGAGTGTTGTAACCTTAAAATATCTAATATAAATGCTAAATTTGTAACCTTACAAAGGGGATAACAATTTAAATATTTTTTAATTTTTAGCTTTGGAAGCTTTGAGCTACTCAAAGCCTTTCTTCCCTAAATATTCAATGTTTCATTACATTTAATGCATTAAAACTAGCTTAAATTTGACCTATGGCTTCATGTTGGGATTATAGCATTTAGATTTACACTAACACTTGTAATATTCAACCCTCGGTATTTTGCATCATTAAATTAAAAAAAAAAAAAACACCTCTTGCATTTTCTGTGTGTGAACCTCGTACAACCTTAATCATGTCAAATATTCATATAGTCATATTGGCAAAAATTATATAGCTGTTCGAAAGACTTTGACCAATTAATAATGGTGAAGACTTTTATAAGCAAAAAGCCTAGAATTATTAAAAAAAAAAATAGAATAACTTGAATAATTCAAGATTGACTTTTTTTTTTTTTCTTTTTTTTTTTTTTTGTAAGAAAGGGAATATCCACATATATACAAGCTACTAAATCAAATGTCACCATAATCACATCCACCAAAGCTCGAACCCACCACATCCCACATTGCAAATTATGCTGTGAAAACGTGTTCACCATGTGCATGGTGAACACAGATTCATAATTTTTTTTTGAAGAACAAATGAAAAACAAAATTATGAATCTATGTTTTTTTTAAAAAAAAAATTATGAATTTACAGTATAGAAATTATAAATCTACACCTATGTTTATTATATGCATGCTGAACACGTTTCAACAACATAATTATTAAACCCACATAGAAAAATAACTTAGTACCAATTGATCACAAGATCCTTGATAAATATCGACCTCGGTCTAGTATTCCACTATTGCTAAGTCGGAAAATCTAAGTTAACCCAAAAAAAATCATATAAAATCTAAAACCGTTGCTTTCTCACTCAGTACGTACTATACTTTACATGCTTGACAATGTTGTGTGCCACTCGGCCTTGTTATCAACATCGCACCCATCGGCTCTCTCTCTCTCTCCCTGAGCAAAAGACAATCACTTGCGGTCAAATTTCTGCATTGATAGATTCTCCATTTTCCTGCTATTAGCATCTGAATCTCAAGAATCAACCCTTTTTCCATTGTCTTCTTCATTTCACTTCCATTTTCACTTTCTGAATTCTTTATTTATGCTATCTTCCACTGTTTGCCGCAGTTCGTTCGCACTGAATATATCTTTGCTTGGACTTTTTCCCTTGGAGCTTATACATTACCTTTACACATTTCAATCACTCTTCTTTCCATGCATTTATGCTTTTTTTCTTTTAACCGCACATTCTTTCATTTGATTACAAACCCACCAATAAACCGAGAAAAAAATTCCAACTTTCTGTCATTTTCTTTCGAGACTCATACGCCTAACAAGTATTCTTCTCTGACAAAGCCCTGAACAAAATTATGTCTCCATTTTTCCAAACAATATCCCTCTGGTCAATGGCGGTGGTGTTTCTGTTACGCTCGGCGGCGGCGGCGGGCGAGTGGGAAACATGCTCGTGGATAGTTCCGATGAGTTACCGGAATGACAAGATATCGATAAAGGACTTTGGGGGCGTCGGAGATGGGCGCACCCTAAATACTAATGCTTTCAGGGAAGCAATTTATCGAATAGAGCATTTGAGGAGGAGAGGTGGCACTCTTCTTTACATTCCTCCTGGGGTGTATTTAACTGGACCTTTCAATCTCACCAGTCACATGACTCTGTATTTGGCCAGGGGTGCTGTTATCAAAGCCACTCAGGTAGTACTCATTTTTCTCTCATTATACTATTCTTTGCACATTTTATGACTGTTTGGTAAATAGCTGTTAGCTTGTGTTAGTGAGTTTGACTAGTTGATAGCATTAGTTGATTGTAGAAAAGTGTTGGTAAATTAGCTGTTAGCTTATAATTGATTACATGCAAAATGACTTTCTGAAAAAACTGATCGAAAAAAGCTACTTTGAGCAGCTTTTTAAATTTTAGTATTTTGGAACAATAAGTTGTTAAAAAAAGCTAATTAATCAAACACTCATATTGATGGTTTAACCCAAGTCAAATAGCTAATAATAGTCAAATAAGTCAGAATTGGTTGATAAACTACCTATGTTACCAAACAGGGCCTATGTCTACTTGGTTATATCAAGAATTGGTTGATTTGTATGCTGCATAATCTATTGAGTGACTAGGGAAACACGCAACCACTACTCGAGGTGCGTGCACCTGGTAAATTTGTAACCCTAGCCGACCACAAGATAAACTAGTCTAAGTTGCCTATAATTAATTGGCTCAAATCAAGAAGGATAATATGCCGCTCTGCTGGTAGTTGGAACTTATAACCTTGTAGTTAACAGCCTAATTAACTTGGCTGGGTTTGCCTCCAATCTAGCATAATTTAGTTGAAATGGTATAGTGAACTTTCCATGGTTGTGTGTAGCTATATGTGGCAAATGAATGCCTAGATGTGTTGGGTCCAAACTTAAGACTGATGTCAATAATGCTCGCATTAGATTGCAATGCATTGAAATGAAAAGCAGTTTGCTTTGGTAGCTCTGCGGTTTTGAGGATGAACAATCACGGGATTGTTCTATTAGGATTGGTTTTCGTGTCCTTAGTGATGAACCATGGAAGTTAATCCACTGCTAAAGACTAAAGTTTACTGATACTACACAGAGTAGCATTTGAAAATTGAAAGCATCAGTCAGGGATGCTATTCTCATTATATCATATCTGGGGGTTGAGACTTGGGAGTGAATATGGTCCCACTGAACCTCAGTTTCATAGACAATGTTTATTGTTTTGTTGAGTTTTAAATGGTGAAAATGTAAAAAAGGTAGATATTATTGAATACTCGATGAGGATGTGAGGATGCTGGTGGGCCTAGTGGATAAAGTAATGGGGAACATGCTTCCATGTGCATGGTGCTTAAAATACTATGGATGAGGATAACAGGACAGCTATGAGCCTTTGAGCTATACAAACCATCATTAGATGTCAAAAGGCAAATGATAATCAAACAAGTGAAAAATATGAGAAGGGAACTACTTTTTGGGTTGAAGGCAAGTCTTGATTTTGAGCTTGCACCAATTTACTTGTCCGCAAAATGGGCCCCACACCCCGGCCTGACATGATAGTTGAGGAATAAATTACGGTGACTCAGCGGCCCATTAGGTTGGAGGACCAGTGCCTGGTACCCACGAGGATGCACCAGTTTACTTAACAATGTATAGTATCTCTTTCAAGGAAAACGGGAAAGTGGAACGCCCATATCCTTCCTTTAGCCCTTCTCCTTACTCATGACTCTTGCAGGATAACCGTAAGGCTTTCAGAAGTCTGAACATATGAAAGTGTATTTCACATTTATTTAGGGTGCGTTTGGAAACTCGGAAAATGACTTCTGGAAAATATTTTCCGAGTTTTCAATGTTTGGCAAGAGGGGGAAAATGAAGTCAATGGAAAATGATGCATTAATCAAAGGAAAATAGGTATGTTTTGGAGGAAAATGACTTCCTTTTTTTTGGGAAGTCATTTTCTAAGAGATGCACATGCAAAATTTTTCGGGCTTAATTTTTTACGGTCTTTTGCATGTCGGCCCACCAAGTCCATGGACTAGGGTTCATGCAACTATAGCCCGCCTCATGCGGGTTGGCGGGCCCTGTAGCCTGGTCCGCGAACTTTTTTTTTTTGAATTCAAAATTTTTAAAAATAAGTAAAGTCTATAAATAATATTCATTTTTTTGTATTTAAAAATTAAAAAAAAACTACATTTTTTAATTAAAACTGTGTAGTTTATATATATATATATATATATATATATATATATATATATATATATATATATATATATATATATATATATATAGTGCTATTCATAGAAAGATTTTATCAAAAGTATCAACTAATTCAAATTTTGAAGTATTCAATTCTTTTCATTTTCGTGCTCATTTTCTAGAAAATGAACCAAACAAACAAAGACAGTTTTCCGTTATGTAGCCAAACATTTTTCAGAAGTCATTTTCCGGGTTTCCAAACGCACTCTTAATGCGGGAAGTTCTCGAGTATTTAATTGCTAGTTAGTCTCTTACCTGTTACTTTCTTTGAAGATGCTTGCCAATTGACATTCATTTAATTGTTTTTTGCTTTAACATTCAAGTTTTCATCTATTTATTTATTCTATGTGTTTGATGATGCAGGATACGAGGCACTGGCCCCTAATTCCTCCATTGCCTTCATATGGAAGAGGAAGAGAGCGACTGGGCGGAAGATATATGAGCTTTATTCATGGAAATGGGCTTCGAGATGTGATTATCACAGGCAAGTATGAATGAATAATAGAATGGTCGTAACTCATGCATTACACTTGGCTAATATCGTCACACATGGCTGTTAAAAGAGACTCATTTCCAGCTTATTTGAGATACTGATACTACTTTTTCAGGCGAGAATGGTACAATCGATGGCCAAGGTGATATCTGGTGGAACATGTGGAGGCAAAGAACTCTTCAATTCACGCGTCCAAGTCTCGTTGAATTCTTGAACTCCAGAGGCATAATCATCTCCAATGTGATTTTCATGAACTCCCCCTTCTGGAATATCCACCCGGTGTATTGCAGGTAGTGATCGAATTACCCCGTGATCGTTTAGGATGCATGTTGCTCTATGTTGTTCAAATCGAAATATATAAGATGATCATATTATTTTGATTTCTCTTGATTGTAATCAATCTGGGATTTGGGCTTCAGACCACAAATGCATTTAAATAACACTCGTTTATATGCCTTTGACAGCAATGTTGTTGTTCGATATGTTACAATACTGGCCCCGGCTGATTCTCCCAACACCGACGGAATTGATCCAGGTATTTAATTCTTTTCTGATACCAAATTGAATGATGTGAAAGTCTAAACTGATAGTTGGACTGAAAGTAATTCAATTCATATATTGCAGATTCAAGCTCCCATGTCTGCATAGAGGACTCTTATATCTCCACGGGGGATGACCTCGTGTCTGTGAAGAGCGGGTGGGATGAGTATGGCATTGCTTATGGGCGGCCTAGCCATGGCATTACCATTCGACGAGTAACAGGGTCATCACCATTCTCTGGAATTTCAGTTGGGAGCGAAACCTCGGGTGGCATAGTAGATGTCTTGGCAGAGCACATAAACCTGTACAACATTGGCGTCGGGATCCATATAAAAACGAACATTGGCCGGGGAGGAATCATCAGAAACATCACCGTCTCTAACGTCTACATGGAAAACGCAAGAACGGGGATAAAGATTGCAGGCGACGTCGGGGACCATCCCGACAACAGATTCAACCCAAACGCTCTCCCAATTGTCAGTGGCATCAAAATCCAGGATGTGTGGGGCAAAAAGGTCTCGCAGCCCGGTTTCATTCGTGGTCTCAAGAAATCTCCTTTCACTCATATTTGCCTCTCCAACATCCACCTCAATGGCGCCTCCTCGCCTCGAAATCCTCCATGGAAGTGCTCCGATGTTCACGGCGCTGCAATCCAGGTTAGCCCATGGCCCTGCTCAGAACTAGCAACCAACCATAGATATGGTGCATGCTCTGCCACTCTCTAACCCGCAAAAGTTGATAGTTAGACTGCACATTTATTGTTATATTTCCGTTTTCGAAGTTTATGTCATTGTTGAATTAAATTATAGTATATATTAACCATCCCCATCCCATTTTCACTTTCATCATTAACAAAATTGAGTTGTGATTTGTATTATTGATATCTGGGAACCCGCAGATACTCTCTGAACTGCGGATTGGAGTACATTACATGTATCTATTTTTTAGGTTTCTACATCGCTCATGGGATGCCATGTGAAATTTATTCAAAGACTAAACTAAAAAAAGGGGGAAAAAATGAAAAAATTGAAATCCGGCCAAAACTGATGCGCCGCCGTGCGTTCGATTGGTGTTCTTCAATCAAAATATTGACCTAAGAACTTGCGAATGCGTTTCCTGAGATTGCTTTCCTTCTTCTCCGGCTTCTTCTCTTTGTTAAGATGGCGTTGGTGTAGGAATTGGATCCACTTCCGTGGGATATGGCTACCGCTGCCGCGATTGTTTTCCTTCGTCAAACGGTTTGAATTTGAATCTGAATCTGAATCCTTGCCGTGATTGTTGTTTTCCGGTAAGCGGTGGTTTAACACCTTCTGGATAGCATCCTGTCGACGGAGATTGCGGGGACCGTTACGGTGGAGGAAGGGGATCGTGTGTGGCAGGGCACGGTGGCGAACGGCGCCGCTGCTGCGATCGATTTCAACCTTGTCGTTATCGTTATCTAGCAGAAAGTATGAAACCTTCTCGTCGGTTTTAGGCAAGTGTTTCGAAACCTCCTCGACGTCAACATGGTGTTGGTGTAGGAACGGGAACATCTTCGGCCGGCCATGGTTGAAGTTGCCGGGGAACACCGCCGGATCGAAATCGCCGTTTTCGCCGCCGAATGTGTAAATCATGTCATTGCCAAAGGGAATTTCTGCTTGTGATGATCTGCTGGGGACGGAGAGGCTTTCATCGATGTGGTGGAGGTGGCTATGGCGGCACAGGCGGTACGGAAGCCTAGATCGGAGCCGGGAGTTGACTTCCTTTAGCGGCAGAGCGGCTTTGGTTTCGGGCTGAGCTTCCTCTGACTCGGGCTGGTTCTCAATGGGCTTACTTTTCTCCTCTTCCTCGGGCTGGGCTTTCATGATCAAGTCCAAATCCGACTGGATTTGTTCATATATCTTATTTCCCTCATTATTATTTTTCTCCTTCTGGATAGGCAACTCAGAGTGGTTTGTAACGGCAACTAAATCGGGTAGGGCCAAGAAGGGTAGGGGCACAATGGGCTTCTTAGTTTTCTTTTCTACCGTCTCGGCCCGACGTTTAACGGGCTGGGGTTTCTGGGCATTTGAATCTTGTAGTTTCTTAATGGGCTTCTTCGTTTTCTTTTCTACAGACTCAGCCCGAAGATTAACGGGCTGGGGTGTCGGGGCATTTGAGTCTTGTAGTTTCTGAATGGGCCTAATTTTTTGGTCGGAAGCGTCTAACTTTAATTCGGGCCGGGTCTCAAGGGGGTGGATTTTAAGTTTATTTAAGTGGCTTGGGAGGCGAAGAGAGGCCTTGACGTCAGATTTTGGAAGAGGATTGGTGAGTTGGCGAACGATGACATCATATTTGGGTTTACTGATCTGAATACGAGCCACCGCCGGTGAGAGGAAGGCGAAAAAGAAGAAGAGAAAGGCAACGGAGACGGTAAGTCCGGCCATGCTTAATTTATTTTTGTTTTATTATTATTATTATTATTATTTCACTGGTACGTTAAACAAGCTGTACGTGAAATATATATATATACCTAATTAAGTGTAGTTGTGGGGTAATTAGTTCCCGTTAATGATGGGGAGGAATTGGTTTCACCGTGAAATTTTCTATAACCATAGGGGGCTTTTGAAATAGTCAAACCTTAATTATGTGGTAAAAAATAGTCAAACCTTAATTATGTGGTAAAATCAGTTTTTATTGTTCTTTTGTTTGTTATCGCACGTGTGAGACAATCAGTGCACCTCTGATTTTCATTTATTGGGTCGTAGAGTACTGAGAACTTAGAGAAAGTACTCTGTACTATTATTCATCATTATTCCTACCATGTGACGGACTGATGTCACTCAGTCCTACACGTTCCTTTTTTTTTTTTTTGTTTGTTTGTTTGTTTTTGTTTTTGTTTTTTTTTTTTTGTTTTTTGTTTTGTTTTTTTTTTTTTTTTATTTAGTCTGTATTTTATAATTTTATTTATGTATTACGGAGTATATTTTATCTCACGAATGAAATTAATCGAATCAAATTTCTATTAAATTTTATTGAAAAAATAAACCTTTGAAAAATGAAAAATATATCTATACAACGTAGATTATGCTATATATTGTTGGGAATATAACTCTAGGAAAAGATTATTTCTGATAAATAACAAGCACAGGAAATGAAAGGTTAGGGTATAGTTTGACTCAAATCACTCTTTTCTTAAAACGTTGTTTGATATTCCCTTTCGTGCTAGGAGCGTTGTAGTCTAGATTTTTCAGGATAAAACGAAATACGACTTATGTTTTGAACGCTCAGATCAAACAACAAGTCCAGCGAACTAGAATATTGGTATTATATGAACATAGAAATTTTGGAGGAGGAAGATGAACAGAGGTTTTTGAGAGCAAAATGTAGGTCGTATATGTTCTTGTAAAAATTCACATGCTCAATGAAGCTTATGAAACTTATATAGGAGATGAATGATTACATAACATTTATCATGACATTTACACTGATTTTAAAATCATTTTGTAACATTCATAATAGACAAATATTTATTCTGAAAATAATTTTAAAATTTAAAATTTAAATTAACTTGAATTTAATTCCGTTGTATCATAATCCCAAATAGTATTTTGAACCGTACCCACGTAGAATAGTTTGAGAAGTAACTATTCTCTGCAATGCCTACGATTCTACGAAAGGTACCTACTATGAGGCCTTGAGATTTTTCTTTTTTTGGAAATCATAGAAAACTATAATTTAATTATTTTAATTGATAAATGTTTTAACAAATATAATTATTTACAGTAATTTTTTACTTATATTGTAAAATGATTTTTTTTTTTTTAAAAACAAATCAAACAAACTTCATTAATTTAAATGTTCAATGCAAGAAGGGAAAGAAGATAACCAACAAAGCAGACCAATTTGGGAACGAGCCACCCTTGCCAAAGCATGAGTGAATTTGTTCACTAATCTATACTGAAACACTACTTCAAAATGTCATTGAAGATAATCTCGACACTCACCCATCATACAACCTGCATATAAGAGATCCATTGAGTTTCCGTTAAGCGACTTGCAGACTGCCTGACAATCAGATAAAATAGAAACCCAGTCGTTATATCGTGGACCGCGGTGCACGTGCACTGCAGTCAAAACGGCGCCGTTTCTTTAAGTAGAGAAACGACGCGCCGTTACTGTTAACGGAGTCCGCATTTTTTGGTATGTTAATTACTAACTGAAACTACATTGTACCTAACCTGACGCTACAGTGTATCTAAACAAACACTGCCTCACGTATTATTTTATTTATTATCAAATGAAACTGCAGTTATATCAAAATGATACTGTAGTTGTGGGGAAATGAAACTGCAGTTTATATAAAATAAAACAGAATAACATTTCACATATTTGAGTGTATATTGTGCACTGAAGCTGTAGTTATATCGAAATGATCATGTAGTTGTGTTTTAATGAAACTATAGTGTAATATAAAATTAAATTAAATAACATTTTCACATATTTGAGTGTATAAATGTCGAATGAAACTGTAGTTATATCGAAATGAAACTGTAGTTGTGTTGAACTGAAATTGCAGTGTATACAAAATGAAACTGAATAGCAGAGTTACTTTTTGCGAAACGGCGCAAAACGAGTACCGTTTCTTTTTATTAAACAAAATGACGTCGTTTTGAAGTTCGGTGCATTATCAATTATGCACCGCGGCGCACGATATAATTTGCCAAAACAACGCTTCTTTAAATAGGAATGAAACATTTTCCATACCAACCAAAATAAAAAGTAAAAAACAGCAATTAAATTTGACCATTACGTTATGAAATTTACCTAGGTCGCGGAATCACGATTTGCCGGAAATATAATTGAGTTGGAGATTTTATTTTAATTTTTTCAACAACAGTAGCAATACAACATGTTTGGGGCAAATTATATATATATTGTATACTATGAATAAATGTACATTTTTAATATATATACTGAATGTACATTATTTGTGTACTAAGAATTCATTATTTTGTAATATACTAAATATTACCTAATTATATACCTTCATTACTCAAATAAATCTTTAAAAACTTATTAAAAATAAAATGTACTTTTAATATTTTTTTGAAGCAGTAATTTTAATATAATAAAACTATATTTTTATGTTTTTTCTTTTTTTTTTTTTGAAAAAGAAACTGTACTTTATGTTAGTAATTCATCTTATAATATGAATCATGATCCATGGTTCATGTATAATGCTTGATGTTTGAGAGTCTTAGGTGGTGAACAATCCTTTGGTTTCTCTTCAACAAATCCTTTAATTACTGTGAATTAGAGTTTGAATTACGGTGTTTCACAACAAAAAAAAAAAGGGAGAAGTGTCAAATAGCCCCATCTACTATAGCGAAGTGTTTAATTCCACCCACGGACTAAAATATAGTGTAATCAACCCAATTAACTTTCTAAATTTGTTCGTTTAGCCTGTTTCGCAGGTAACCACCCCATTGCTGATGATGTGTTCCGGTTAAGCGTAGGTGTCTTGTTGACATGGCAAAGAATAACAAAAAATAAAAAACACATGGCAAAAACAAACAAACAACTCATTCATTTGCCTGAAATTGCTCCTAAATCCCCAATTCATACTTCCTAAACCCTATCGTACATACAGTGGAGAAATTAGTTTTCAAATACCCAATCCCTAATTCGAATACTAAGCTCGACATAATTGATGCTGGTGGAGAATCAAACATTGACGACATAGAAGACCTGCGTGGTGGATTACCCGTCGACGCCATTGACGAGCACCAAGGTAAGCTTTGTTTTGCTACTGTCAAATGCTTCCTTTGCTACTGTCGAATGCTTTGCTTTTCTATTGTTGCTTTGCTGTTATATAAAGTGGTAAATAGTTGAAGTGGTCTTGCTTTGTTTTTTGAA